TGGGAAGCAAGGGCTTAGAGTAACAGGTAGCATTCCTTCATCATCCAACCATCTTTTCACTTAAGAGATATCTGATGGATGTCTATCATGTGCAGACATGAAAATATCTTTGGTGAGCAGCCCATGGAACAGGGAAGCAGAGAATGCATCTAAATGTAGCTGTAGCTGGAGGTGGGTTTTGTGGACTTTTGAAGGAAGAAGGTGTGAACCATCAAGCACAATGAGCAGCATATGGAAGGTACAGGCCGTATTCAGCCTGACCATGACAGCTGGCCCTGGATCCAGAGGAAGGGAAAGCCACTGACGGATGAGCAGTAAGAACGGTCTTGTGTCTCAATAAAAGGTCAGTGGCACAAGAGAAGAGGAACGAGGAAACCGTGGCAGAAGAAACAGTGTTGTACTGTATGCAAAAGTCAGAACAAAGCCCAATATCGACTTCTTATCATCAGGAAGACACTTTTTGAACTATACCCAACCTCTCTTCTGAGAAGAATATGGCTTCCTTGTTTCCCCATGCCCACTTTTCACAGTACATTAACTGCAGCTTCCCCAGACCCCAGAGGCTTGTTGATACTATCAGGGCTTTGAATTTAAGGACAGGCTCAAGAACAGGCTCTCAAAGTATATTTGTCACCTAAGCCTGATTCGTTTTTGGCACACTGTTGGATTATTCCAGGTATTCAGTAATTCAGTAAACCGATTAGTCATTCCTGTGACAGACCAGGACTTCCTTTGCATCACTCACCTAGATGTGGCCTCTGTTTTCATTTTTAATGGCTAAATGTTCAGCACCCATCATGCCAGCTTGCTCCTCTCAGCCCTTCACAAACCAGAGAAAATCACTTTATTGAGCCAGATGGTAGTGAATGATGTCTAAGGCATTGCTGATACCCAAATTTGTGGCAATCACAAATTCATAGCGTGTCATAAGATTAGAAAGATATTATACAATAGTGCTATGTATGTGCCCCTTGATAGCATCAAATTTATTCTTTTATTTTAATATCTATATCTCAGTATTTTCTTTATATATCAAACTGATTTATTTGCATTTGGTTTTTGGTTGTTGTTGGTTTTATAAACCTGGTGGTTCAGTCAGTTAAGCATCTGACTCTTAATTTCAGCTCAGGTCATGATCTCACAGTTCAAGCCCCACATCATGTTCCATGCTGACAGTCCAGAGCCTGCTTGGGATTCTCTTTCCCCCTCTCTCTGTCCCTCCCCTGCTCTCTCTCTCAAAATAAATAAATAAACTTAAAAAAAAAAAAGAAACAAAAAACACAAACCTAATCATTCTTTCCTACTTCTTAGAGGTGTCATGAGGATTAACATCATGCAAATATAAGTGCTTTAATAAGCAACATTATTTAAAAATGTTATCATGTGGCTTGTTGAAACAGTAGACTCGCACAAGGCCTGCAGAACATAAACCACAAACCCCTGAATCCTACAGATCTGTACCCCACATGCTGTAGCATTATACAGCCAGACCCTAAGAACCAAAGAGAAGATACCAGACACTAATGTAAGTCCAGAATCCCGCACTGAGTGAAGTTATCCCTTTCTCTGTGCAGCTTCTGTGATTCTAAGAGGTCAATGAGTTTCTGCTTCACAAGGGGAAATAAGACTGATTGATTCCCCCTCTGCTCAAGAATCCCAGTGTGTGGACCCCACGGGTTTTCTGAAGCTTCACCAAAGACAATCCCCAGGTAACTCTCTGTTCAAGTGGAACAGGATGAGTTCCCTGCCATGGAAGGGACTGGGATTCCTCTTGTTTCCATCTGCAAAATGCATGAAACACATCGTGGCCATTTAAAGGCTTGTTCTCTGTCCAGCTTGTTAATGCAAGAATGGAGAGAATCTTCTATGTTCTTTAGTGGTGTCCATTTTAAACCTAATCCCAGACTAAACCTATAATATGTATGTGACCTAGTTGATTGCATAAAAAGTAGAATAACGTCTGCATATACAGATTTTTCAACATCTTAGAATATTCACTTTTTAAGTGACTGCTAATTTGGTTCACTGGGTTTGTTTTTATTATTATGGCATTGGAACCACCCTCATCATGTGTCATTTCTGTACCAAAAAACTTATACATTCCACTTCCCAGAAGGAAAACACTCTACAGAAATCTTACATTCGTCATTTCTTTATTCCATTCAGAGACTAACAGGCCTGCAGTAGATTATAGAAAAAGGAGCTGTATATCTCAATCACGCGGGTTCCTTCAACATCTTAGGAACTCAGCCTAAAGCAAAATGTCCATACAGGCAAAGGTTTACTGTCCCAGAAATTCTCAAAATAAGAAAGCTGCTTTCTGTCTCCTTGGCTGCCATCTAGTGGGTAATGATGTAGTGTCAGTAAAACACTACATCTGTGAAGACACAAGATGTCTGCCTGTCTTCAAAACCAAAAACACAGTTAATGTAAGAAATATTGCAGAGGGGCGCCTGGGTGGCTCAGTCGGTTAAGTGACTTCAGCTCAGGTCATGATCTCATGGTTCATGGGTTCAGGCCCCGCGTCAGGCTCTGTGCTGACAGCTCAGAGCCGGGAGCCTGCTTTGGATTCTGTGTCTCCCTCTCTCTCTGCCCCTCCCACGCTTGCACTCTGTCTGCCAAAAATAAATAAATATTTTTAAAAAAATTTTAAAGAAATATTATTGCAGAAATGAGGCAAGTATCCTTTTTCATAATTTCTGTTTAGATCTTAAAGTGGTATTCTCCTTCCTTTTTCCTGGTCTACATTCCTTTCCATAATCAAACATTGATTTTGTGCTAATATTGTGTGCTGGTACTAGAGCTGTAAGGAAATCCTAAAACAGATTCCACCACAGACTGGGACTAAAAATAAAGTTTCAGGGATCTCCACTGAAAGAAAGAACCTCAGCCAACTTAAGCCTAGACCAGTGACGATCCACTGAATATCGCTTCTTTGGTATATTGCTTCTTGATGCAGTGGCTAACACCAATATTGACTGTACCGTCTTAGATTTATATCTGCTAGGTTTTTCCTGTGAGCATTTTTTTTAAATTAAGGTTTATTATTTATTTTTTGAGAAAGAGACAGACAGAGAGCAGGGGAGGGGCAGAGACAGACAGAGACACAGAATCTGAAGCAGGCTCCAGGCTCTGAGCCGTCAGCATAGAGCCCGACACGGGCCTGAACTCATGAACATTGAGGTCATGACCTGAGCGAAAATCAGTTGCTTAACCAACTGAGCCACCCAGGAAGCCCTCCTGTGAGCATTTTTTAGTGGAATCTCTAATGCCTGATGAACATTACATAACAGTCAGGTCAGCTGTTGAGTAGCATCTCCAACTTTTCAAACTGAAATCAGATTATAGACCTAACGTATTTTGGTTTCAGATTCTCAAAAAGGGAGAGTTCTGAAAGTACAAAGAAATGTGGTAAAAATATAATGAATCTAAAAAACTTGCACATAAGCCTCTGCCTTTTTTCTCTCTCTCTGGGCTTTGCAAGTTAAACACACACACACACACACACACACACACACACACACACCCCTACAGCTGGAATGGTAGACCAATCTTCCCCAATAATCACTCAGCCTAAGTCCAGTCATCTACATCTGGTTGCAGATAAATGAAAAGTCACTGTGAATTACATTTGACATCACAAGTTAACAAGAATAATCCACCAGACATCCATCCTTCTTTGTTCAACATGACCATGGAGTAGTTTGAGAAGAAGGAACAAGAGCTCTCAACTAAGGTAGTGGTTCCGAATGCGTGTCATGGTACCAGACTGCATAGGTTCAGATCCTGGCTATGCTGGTTGTGATCATAAACTTCAGGCAATTTACCAGACCTATATGTGCCCTGGTTTCCTGAAACATAAAATGAAGGTACCTCCCCTTAGGGTCATGTTTAGGATTAGACAAGTCATTACAAAGAATATGCTTAGAAGGAAGGCTGAAATCCAGATAGGGCTTAATAATTGTGAGCACTTATTAATGTATCCAGATGCTTCCAAATAATTTTCAAAGGAGTGCTAATTTTTCCCGTGCCTTAAAGTTTGGAGTGGGGGATGTCAAAAGTCAGGTCTCAAAGTGTAGGAAGTGAGACACCTGCCAGCAATGCCACCACTCTGTACTAACTCAGCTAAACTCTCATATGCTCATGGCTACACAACTGGTGAGTATCAGTTAATGATATACCTCCAAGTTCATTTTAACCTGGTATCAAAGCTGAAGCCCACAGGATGCACTTAATGGAGAATCTCCAATCTCTGCTGAAGCAGGAGAGGAGAGCCCTTTAAGAGTTTGTGAAACCAGGGTGCCTGGATGGCTTAGCCGGTTAAGCGTCTGGCTTTTGACTTCAGCTCAGGTCATGATCTCACAGTTCGTGGGTTCGAGACCCACAGTGGGTTCTGCACTGGCAGTGCAGAGCTTGCTTGGGATTCTTTCTCTCTCCTTCTCCCTCTGCCCCTCCCCTGCTCGTGTTCTCTCTCTCTCTCTCTCTCTCAAAAGAAAAAGAGCCTATAAAACCATGTGCCTCCAGCAGGGGGTGCGGGTGGGGTGATTCTGCCTACTATATAAACCTGACTATTCATCTTGTCAGAGTTAAATTGTACTAAAGTATAAGCCTCTCCCTCCCTCCACCCCAGGTGTTCTCTGATTCTAATCTGGCTCTCTGAAAAAGTTCAGGTCTAAGCCTGAGCCTAAGAAACCTGATGCCTTCTCTTGGGGTGCCGGGGTGGCTCAGTCGGTTGAGTGTCCAACTTGCGGTCTGTGAGTTCGAGCCCCGCATCAGGCTCTGTGCTGACAGCTCAGAGCCGGGAGCCTGCTTCCGATTCTGTGACTCCCTCTCTCTCTGCCCCTTCCCTGCATGCTCTATATCTCTTTCTATCTCAAAAATAATAAACATTAAAAAAAAAAAAAAGAAGAAAGAAACCTGATGCCTTCTCAAAAAAGAAAATGGGGGAGGAAAAAGCAAACCCTGTCATGACTCACTTTCTTTTTTGGTATTATTTAAAGACATGCAAAGCCTAGAGAAGCTCCTGAGAGATGCTGTAATCTATGGCCAGCCTCGAATCCGCAGAGCTTGGAAGAAGATTCTCATCCTAGTTGAGGGCATCTACAGGTATGTAAATCACCTGAGATGTTTGCACACAGTGGGGCCTGTAGCAAGCTAACAAATGAGGAAAGGCTGACCTCTCCTAGCTAAATGGAAAAACAAGTTAGGTATTAGGTATTATGGAGAGACCTGAGCCAGAGCTACCAATGTGAGCTGTCAGCCTTGGGTCAACTATCTTTTCAATGTCTGTACATATGGCAGAATACCTTGGAGGCTGGATGCTTGTGAAGGTGTCCTCAGAAATGCCCTTAGAGGGCATTGCAATAATTCTTTCCACTACCTTTCAGTGGCCCACAACTTCAAAGGCTTTTGCTGGCTGGGTTATTCAACATCAGAATGCTTCTGGCCTTCTATGGCTATAGTAGATATGGCTGCTACGTACCCAGATGCTTCTAACTAGACAGTACACACAAACTCCAGTGGCTTGCTGAACTTGGCCAGTTGTTGGCATTAGAATACAAAAACCCTGCGCATCTTCCACAAGGTAAGACTAACCTCAAGGGCAATTCCTGATCCAAAGCTGGGAGCAGCTGGACTCAGCATCTGAAGGTATGCTCCATTTCCCACCACTTTGAAGCTAAGTGGACAAAACACCCACTAAGTCACTGAGAGCTGCACTTTTATGAGGAACATGGTGGTGGGATTTGCTTCATTCTCTGTCCGAACTGATTACTGACACTAAAATGAAGGATGCCTCCCACCCCTTCTGTTTAATGCCCAAGTCCCTGAGTCAAAGAAACATCATCTCAGAGTGCTCACTCCTAAATCAGCTCTCAAACAATCGTAATGTTGAAAGAATCAAGGGAGACGTTTCTTATAATTACAGAAAAGTGAACAATATTAAACAGAAGGGAATGAGAGCTTAACTTCCCTGCAAGGAGAAGTGTGTTTGCAAAGGAAACTTGAGATCTGATAGAGCCCTTCATTCAGCCAGAGTGCACATCGTTTCTGTTCCATGAATAGATAAACCAGCAGCAGAAGAAATGTGTCTTCATCCCTTTTGGAAAAAAAGAAGTGCTTTCTACTAAATGTAAAACAATAATAATAATAATAATAATAACAACAACAACAATAATAAGCCAGATATCATTTTGTTTTTTCTCTAGTCCTTACTGCCCCAGGGGTTGGTGTTCTGGGTGTTCCCAGTGCTTCTGTGGGGTTGCAAAGCTGGTATTTCACGTTTTCAGTAACCCAATGTATGCAGTACCTCCTCAGGTCAGCCCCCAGACCGTGTCTTCTTTGTGAAGTCTTTGCAATCACCTTAGAGCAGCATTCTCAACCAAGGTGATTTCTTCCCCGCAACCCACCTCTACTCTGGACACACTTGGCAACTGTCAGTTGTCGCAACTTTAGTACTACTGGCATCTGGTGGGCAGAGGCGAGGGATGTTGCTAGACATCCTACGGTGCACAAGGTAGGCCCTTACAACAGAGGATCACCCTGCTCAAAATATCAACAGTGCTGAGGCTGAGATACCCTGCTGTGGATTAATTCAATTAGTAATTGAATTTAGGGGCTCCTGGGTGGCTCAGCCAGATAAGCATCCGACTTTGGCTCAGGTCATCATCTCACAGTTTGTGAGTTTGAGCCCCATGTGAGGCTCTGTGCTGAGAGCTCAGAGCCTGGAGCCTGCTTCAGATTCTGTGTCTCCTTCTCTCTCTGCCCTTCCCCTGCTTGCTCTCTCTCTCTCTCTCTCTCTCTCTCTCAAAAAAAAACCCAAAATAAACATTTAAAAAAATTAAAAAAAAAATTCAATTTAATTAATAATTTACTCACTGGCCTTGAACTTGCTACTTTTGGGAAGTCATCTCCTATGGACTCTGGGCTGTCATAACCTCAGGCACAGGTCTTGCTCCCTTGTGTGATCTGTGCCAGCTGCCAGCTTAGGAGGGGAGCCCTTATCTAAACACCTGTCATTCAGGCCTGGGCTTGCAGGAGCACGGATCAGCTGAGGGAGAGCAGATTGGGTGTCTCCTTTAACCAGAGTTAACCGAATCCAACTGCAAATAAACAAAGCTTAGCTCCACTAAAGGAAAGTTGTGTTTTAAGTACTTTGATCGTGGCTGAAATTAAGTGGACCACCAGCGTTTCACTGTCAACTATTCCCATCAGTTACATAGAGAAACCACTCCAGCAGCAAGGCTTGTTAATGGCTGGGCCCATGTCACACCATGGTCTCAGGAGGGCAGGAGGGCCAGGTGTGGACTTTTGGCTCCACACCGGCATGGCACCAAACCACAACCTGGGATTCACTAGCAATGGTGCCTGCTCTGTTATCTCATACTGTGTAACAAGCCATTTGAAGCATAACGGCTTACACACAGCAATGAGTTAGTATTCCCCACATCGCTGTGGGTTGTCTGGACCAACTGGGCAGTTTTTCTGCTCCACGTGGTGCTGGTTGGGGTCATTCATGGGGTTGCATTCAGCTGGGAGTTCAACTGGGATCTGGAATGTGAAAATGACCTCACTTAGCACTGGCGGTTGACTGAAGTACCTTGTTCCCTTCTCTTCTCTGGAGTGCCTTCTCCATATGTAGGCTCTTCTCACTGAGCAATCAAGCTGGAGCTTCCTTACAACATGGAAGGAACATCTGTCTTCCAAGAGGATGAGAGCAGAAGCTGCTGCCTTTTAATGGCTAGGCCTAGAACCAGTACAGCAAATCTGCCATTCTCTGTTGGTCAAAGTATGGCAAAAGGCCAGCTCAGATTCAAGGGGAAGAGAGAGAGCACCTCTTTTTTTTTAAATTTATTTTTGTTTATTTATTTCTGAGAGAGAGAGAGAGAGAGAGACAAACAGACAGAGTGTGTGTAGGGGAGGGGCAGAGAGAGAGGGAGACACAGAATCTGAAGCAGGCTCCAGGCTCTAAGCTGTCAGTACGGAGCTCAGCGCAGGGCTCAAACTCACAGACTGCGAGGTCCTGACCTGAGCTGAAGTCAGACACTTAACCAACTGAGCCACCCAAGTGCCCCAGAGCCCACCTCTTAATGGGAGGATTGGCTTGTGTGTGGAGGGATGGGGAGACTTGCAGGAAGTCTTTGGAGACAATCTACCATAGTGGCTCAGTCATCCTGACATTTATTTATACAATGAAATCTCCACTTTCCATGGACCTCCCTTCACAGGAGCTTTCTTTTATCTCACCCGCACAGAATCTTGTCTTTAAATGAAACTGTGAGCTAAAAGGGCCCATTCAATGCTAGGAAGCAGGGGACCTCTTAGGCCTCAATATTTCCTGGGGCCTCAGTTTCCTCATTTTTAAAACAAGGCTAGCCTAGACTGGAGTTCTGGCACATAGTGGGCATTCTCATTTGCTTCTATCACCAAAAAATGAAATTATTTCCCACAAGATTTTCCAAAGGGCCAGGGTTAAGAATCAACAGTTCACAAACACACTTCTACTTTTTAGAGTTGTGTTATAGACACATACCTTGTTGATATCAACACAAAGCTTCCTTTGAAGTTTTACTCCCAGATATATATTTTTTTATCTATTGCTATGGTTTGCCACCATGGGCAAAGTCCCCCCACCACAAAAGCCTCCCATGAGTCCATTTTTTTTTCATAATTCCTAAAAAGAGCATTCAGCCAAATCAGACAGTTTCAGGCAGGTATCAAGGTAGGAAAAGCTAGATACCAAGTCTAAGAAGTCCATAAACTCCACAAAAGCAGTTATGAGAATGATAATTATAGTAATTAATAGTAGTGACAATAATAATGCCACCATCTATAAACCATCTAAGTCTCATTATCTATATAGAGAATATGGAGGAGCCAGGGTTTGGAGGAAGGCCCAGGCCCTGGGTTCAAATCCTAGTGTTGTCACCTACAGTGCTGTGTCCTTCATAGGGTTATTTTGTAAATATTAAATAAGATCATAGGACCAGTTCCTGGCAGAAGCCCAGCCCACAGTAAGTCCACAACAAGGGCAGCTGTCTCCATCATTAAATTTATTTTCAGTCGAGGAAGTTGCAACGTGGAAAACAGTAAGCTGTCTGCAGAGTGAAGCTGTTTGCTCTTCACCCAGCTGGAGAATGGATGTCAGGGGAAGGAGCTCACATTTATTATGTGTCTGCTACTTACTAAACACGTGGGCTTACTCCTTGCTCCCCATGTGTGATTTTGAGTAAGCCTCCCCTGTACATTTTTTATAAAGCATTTTATATCTATTTTTAAAGGTTTATTTATTTTTGAAAGAGCACGAGTGGGGAAGGGTCAGAGAGAGGGGGACAGAGGATCTGAAGTGGGCTGCGTGCTGACAGCACAGAGCCCAAGGTGGGGCTTGAACTCATGAACTGAACCATGAGACCATGACCTGAGCCAAAGTCAAACACTCAACTGACTGAGCCACCCAGGTGTCCCCAGTATTTTGATGTCACTGTGAAGATGAAGACACTCGACTCAAGGCAGGTGGCTGAGATGAGAGAGAGCCAGGGTTCAAACCAGGCAGCCCTGCTGGGACAGAGGCCACATATCAACAAGGGAGTCCATTCACGTGTCCCCATCCAACGAAGTAAACACAGAAAAGGTGAAGTCATCCATGTGGCCTTCGCCATTTACCTACCTAGGGTTCAGTTTCTTCATCTGTAAAATAGGGAGATTGAAACTTGAAATATAAAGTTCCATGAGTTCATGATTTGGGGCTTAAAAGTACAATCGTATTTTAGCGTTCTCATCTGCTTTCTTTTAAGTATTGTTTTAAAGTCAGACTCTTCTAGTTTTGTGTCTCTGAAAAGTCATTGTGGTTGAGAAATCTCAAAACTATTAAAAAATCTACTAAAGGGGCACCTGAGTGGCTCAGTCAGTTAAGTGTCCAACTCTTGATCTCAGCTCAGGTCTTGATCTCAGGGTCGTGAGTTCAAGCCCCATATATATATATATATATATAT